ATTGGTGCATATCTCGGCAACGGGTGTGGGGCGCGCCTATTCCTGTCTTCTATGACAAAGTAACTGGAGAGCCTGTAGTTAATAGGTAAGTAGAGAATTTTCTGGTTTTAGAATCATGTCATTATTCTGTCATTAGTTAAAATACCTATAGATCCTTTATATTTTGGTTGTGTTAAACATTTATGGAATTTTCAAGAACAGATGTAACATTGTATTATAATGCACTGAAACAAGGAAACTAAACTTGAAATTGCAGGAGAATAATTGAACACGTGGCAGATGTCTTGCAGCGAGAGGGCCCAGACTCGTGGTGGATACTTCCTGAGGAGAATTTGCTTCCTCCAGAACTTGTGGAGAACTTTAGACAAAATGAAAAGCCATTACCCACCAAGGTACTATCATTAATTTTGATAGTTTAAATCCAGAACCTAACTTAACTTAAATAATGTATAAATAATGTATTTATTTTGGTGAGGTCTGCTGTGACAAAGCTCCTTGTATGGTATATATCAGACATAATGTGCTATTAGTCCTCTGTGTAGCATATCAGTATCAGTAATCTAGGAATATTTTCATCATTAGGGTACAGACATCTTTGACATCTGGTTTGACTCCGGGTCTTCCTGGAACAGTGTCTTGGGAAGTCCCTCAGCTGACTTGTACCTGGAGGGAGTGGATCAGTTTACAGGATGGTTCCAGTCATCTCTTCTCACTTCTGTGGCTTCTACAGGAAAGGCTCCATATAAGTGAGTAGAATGAGGGATTGTGGGCAATTTTAATTCCTGACTGAAAAATAATAAAACTTTTATTATGGGAGTACTATATATTTTATTTAAAAGAAGCAAGACTTTTTGGCATAGGAATTCCAGCAAATTATGACAAATTGGATACAAAATATGACAGCCGATCTCTTATTGAGTATGCATACAGATATACTATATATTTACAAAAGGAGATTTTATTAACAAAGTTTGTTCTGTTGCAGGCAGTTGTACGTCCACGGCTTTACACTAGATGAGACTGGAAGGAAGATGAGCAAGTCTCTGAATAATGTCATTGACCCTGATATTGTTACTGATGGAGGCAAGAATCTCAGTAAAGATCCTGTGTATGGTGCAGATGTCCTAAGGTATGGGATTCTGAGATAGTGTTTATTTTATGATGGAACAAAATATAGTGAGAATTCTTTGAAGTCATTCATTTGAACATGAGGGCTGTTTCAGTGGCATGTACTGAAATAGCAACTCCGTAAGTACATTTGAATATTCAAGTCCATCTTTTGCAGGTGGTGGGTTGCTTCACATGCAACCAATCACACCAACCTGTCTGTTGGCAAGAATATCCTAGACCAGTGCAAGGAGTCTGTCCAGAAGGTGCGAGCGGTGTTGCGTTTCCTGCTGGCTTCCTTGGGCGACTACCAACCCTGTGAACATAGCCTTCCTGTAGCTGACCTCAAGCCAGTCGACCAATATATGCTTCATCTCTTGAAAGGACACATTGAGAGAGTTAGTAGAGGGAAACTGCAGGCTTGTTTGTGCAAAGGGGTTATTCTTAAAGCAGTTTGATTGGAGCCATTTTAAGGAAGACCTCAATTGTTCATGGGGAAAAGAAAACATGTACAGTAGTTAGTGGGTATTTTAGAATGTGAAAGTACAAGGTTTTCATCTTTGTTTTTTATAGTCAGTTTATTGTTCTTGGGGTAAAGTTTTCTTTATTTTTGGATGAATTACAACTTCATTCAGTCATCTACCATAGTTCTTATGCACTGAATAAGTAAATATGAATACATATATGGCATACTCCTATTAAGACAATGAGATATTGACGAGGTAATTTCCAATTTGTTGGTGGTCTCTAGTCCTGTCATCCATGTCAAGAAACTATATTTTGTATTTTGTTATTTAGTCATTATAAAACACCATTAATGTATTTTTTCTTTACAACTTAATAATAGACTGGCAAATGTAGAAGTAACTAATGATGTTTGACCTTTGCAGGTTTGGGAGCACTATGATAATTTTGAGTATCACCGTGTTGCAGCTACTTCTCTTGCATTTATTAATTCTAATGTCTCGGCCTTTTACTTCTCCATCATCAAAGATCGGTAAGCACTGTCAAGTCTTGTCATATGATGTCATGTGCATATAATACTTTACTGTAGTGGGAAAAGCATTAATTTAGGATTCTGTAAAACTGTAGGTGATATGTGACTGATTCACATATCAAATGTTGACAGCAATTCATATACAAGTTACATATTTTTTGATTCCCAAGACTTTACTGTGAGAGTCGGCTGGGCAGCAAACGCATGTCTGCTCTCTTGGTGCTTCACCACCTGCTGCACCATCTCCTCCTGTCCCTGGCACCAGTCCTACCCCATCTGGTTGAGGAGGTAGCCCTTCATCACCACAATAAGAAATGTAAAGTGACAAATCTTTATTGTTTTAGATGCTTATAATATTTGCATAGATAGGTGTGGTTGACTGCCGGCAGGTATGGGGATGTAATATGATATAACTGATTAAAGGTATACAGGGATAAGATCATAATTCACATGCTATTTGTTAATTTTTTTCTGTCTTTGGAAACATTGCAAGATGTATTTCTGTTTCCCAGCTTGGCACGTGTTCCACCAAGTGTATAATGGTCTCCCTGCTTCCTGGGACCAACCAGAACTGGCAAGCAGGATAGAAAGGTGTCTCGAAGTGCGCGATCAACTCTTCAGATCTCATCCCAATGTGAACCACAATGTTCAGGTCACAGTCACAGCTGGTGGAGATATGTTAGAGGCACTCATGGTATGATATCATATTTTTATTAGGAAAATTGTTATATGTATATTTTTTTGTTACTATAATGATTATATACAAAACTTTTCATGTTTTAACATAAATGTTGAAAAAGATAATTGACAGTATGATCATTATTAAAAATTTATGTCATTCACAAAGGTGTGATAAGTACTTAATTTGTTGTTCTAGACATTGACATAGTAGTTAAAAAAATAATAAATCAGTTGCTTAATAATATCCTTAATTCTTTCAGCTTCTTCAGAGACACAAGGATGCAATTGACTCAGGCCTTTGTGAATTGCTCATGGTTTCAAGAGTTATCCTTCTTCCTGATGAAGGTTTGTTGCAATTATATTTAGGGGCTCTAGCTTAAAGGCATTCTGAATAACTGTCTTTGTGTTAAGACTAACTTTAAGTGTGAGTTTGATTTTAGAATTTCAGAATTTCTTTATTGTAAAATAGGTTGATGTGTTTCAAGTTTATTTTATTTTTGTCTTTGATATCATAAAGAAAATAATCTATAGTCTATTTTGCAAGGATTTTTCACCTTGTAATTCATAAACCTTAATCCATGATTTTAGAATTAATGAGATAAGTTAAGTCTTTTTTTCTTAGCTTCTTCCTCCTTTCTTCATCTTCCTCATTTGCCTTCCCCCTTCCATCTGCATCATATTATGCCATCTGTTACAAGTATTGCAATAACGCATTTCAGAAGGAAGAGATGGATTTTCACTGGAAGCAAGAATATCCACCGGAGAAAAATGCCTGAGGTGTCGCAAGCATACGGCAGATGTTGGGGAGGAACTGTGTATGAGGTGTAAAAATACCATCTCTTCATCTTGGTAGATTAGGGGTGCAAACTGAATCTAAAGCTTTGGTTGTTAAAGAAAGTGAAAAAAAGGTAAAGGAAGTAGGTAATGATAATATCGTGTCTCTGTGATATAATTCTGTGGCGGTCTTTTGTACTTATGAAGGATGAGTTTTGGCAGGCTGAAGGGAAACTTAACGAAAAGGCGAAAAGAGTCATTGAAAAAAAATAGGTAAACATGAGAGTTGCTCTGGGAGAAGGATTGGAACCTTTTCATCTCCTGTGAGTGACTAAGAATTAGGGATTCCTAGTGATCTTTCTGTGATTTTCTCAGAGTTATGCAAGCTCAGCTAATGCATATTTAGTCAATTTTCCATTATATGGCTACTTATAGATGATTTATATTTACACCAAAATCAGAATCAGTTTAACAACTTATTTATTAATGTTTAAATATGTAGAACCAAACATGTTCAAAAGTCTCTAATTGTGCACTAATTGTGGAACACAAGTAAAAATAAGTATAGGTTGTCAATCAAAGTTCCTCCTCAAAGGTCCTCTTCAACATGAGAATTTAAGCGGAAACTTTATTCTTGGCTGTGAAGAAGGACAGAGTTGAGTGAGAATTAAGTACTTGGAAGAGAATGTACTTTTGAAGTAACTGTGAGAGATAGAAAAATTAATATTCTTAAAATGGTTGTATGTGATGTCATGAAATTTGAGTTGCATAATGAAAGAATATGTATATATATACACATACATAAAATTGATATATAGTTGTTTCAGATTATGTCCTTTTAAATCTCTTGTAAATAGTATTTTTATTTTTGAGAGTTAAAATAAATGTCAATGATTTTAAAGGTGTTTGACTTTGACAAAGCCTATTAAAATATGTGAGTATATTTGTATATTGTAAGTCAAGAGCAGCAGTAAGGGAGGGAATGAGAGAAAATTACTGTATAAGACAAAACTCTTTTCTGTATTCTCCTCACTTTTCTTTCCCCTCTACCACATACTTTTAGGTGAGTGAGAGAGTGTGTGTGGGTGTGTGTGTGCATATGGGTGTGGGTGTGCATATGTGTGTGTGTGTGTGTGTGTGTGTGTGTGTGTGTGTGTGTGTGTGTGTGTGTGTGTGTGTGTGTGTGTGTGTGTGTGTGTGTGTGTGTGTGTGTGTGTGTGTGTGTGCATGTGGGTGTGGCTGTGCATGTTTGCATGTATTTTACTTATCCTGCATAGCTATTAATAAAAAGTTAGTTTCATATTAGGCTTGAGAGCACGTGGGAAATTATAAGTAATATGTTTGAGATTAATTAATAAATGAGAGTTCAAAGAAAAAGGTTTGGTTTAAGCTGTGATAAATGTTCAGCCTTTCAGAAATGCAGGACAGACCAAAAAATTGAGACATTTTAATGTATTTATTATAAAAGTTTATTTTCACAATCTTATATTTAAAAACACAGATATTCATATGGCATAAGACTATGTAACATGCAATAAAAATTACCAGTGACTTCTCATATACTATGCAAACAGATGCATATCTCAACAGTAATAACAATATCACCGCAGCCTTTATTGCGTCATCAACCTTGGTGACTTAATATTCATCATAGTCTTTACAAGTTCATGATCCTCATGACATCATAAGCTTCATGATACCTTAACTTTCATGCCATCAACTTTAGTCACGTCATGTAATACTCATGACGTCTTGACATTCATGACATCATTGCCTCAACACCTTGAGACAGAACATAAAAATTAAACAACTTCTTGATCCTGAAGATTTTCGCTCTCTGGGGTCGGCTTCTCCACCTAGAACACGCGAGGAAATGTAAGTTAACTACTTCATTACGTTCTCTCTCTAAAGTTTATAAGAGCATTTTTTTTTTTTTTTTTTTTTTTTTTATAATGTGTAAGATGCAAATAGCAGCAGATGATGGATACTTCCTTTTATATGTATATGTATATATGTGTGTGTGTGTGTGTGTGTGTGTGTGTGTGTGTGTGTGTGTGTGTGTGTGTGTGTGTGTGTGTGTGTGTGTGTGTGTGTGTGTGTGTGTGTGTGTGTGTGTGTGTTTATGCAATGTTTCTTTTTCTACTTATTTATTAACAAGTTTGTTTATCTGCAATGGAAGATATGACACGCTATATCCAAATAGTGATAATTCACAAGGATATACACATCTTATCATCATCACCACTGCCATCAATATCATCATCATTATCATTATCGTTAACATTATCATAGTCATCATCACCACCACCTCGATCAATATCATCATCATTATTATCACTACTATTATCACAATCGTTATCATCATCATCATTATTATCACTATTGTTGTCACTATCATTATCATCATCATTACTATTACCACCACTATCATTATCATTATCATCAATAACATTAATACC